GGGGGGGGGGCAAATTGGTCCGGCCCTGCTGGGACGTGTTGGGTTTCTCCCTCGCCCCATCTCTCTCCATGGCCCAAAGTACCAATGTTCTGCCATGTAATACAAACCCATACACACTGGAGGAAAGTGTGGGGGAGCCACTGACACTTGATTACAATTTAACGAGCAGTTGCAGTGTGCTTATGAATTTACGCTCACGTTTCTCTGTTGAGGGAGAAGAAATCGAATTTACAATCTACAGAGTAATCTCCCTGAAGACCTCGGTAGGTTTAGAGCCCCCGCTCCCCAAATGTCTTTCGTATCCATTTATAAAGAAACACTGCGAGCATTAGAGATGGCACTTCACTGTCCTCAGCAGGAAGCCGCTTTTCTTGTTTTTATAAGCAAAGAGCTACTCCCACATTCTTATGGTTCCTTCATGCCATGTCAAGCTTTGACATCATCCTGCAACGTCCACAGATCACATAGGCTGTGGCTTTGTGGACTAAAAGAGGCCGAGATATTGTACCGCTGAACTACACCCAGCTTTACTCTCTTCCTCCCTCTCTCCCCGTCATGGTCTCCCCCTCAGTGTCCCAGAGTAGGATTAGGCCCGGTGCCCAGTGGTGACACAAGGACACCGAAGCCAACAGGCTGTTGGGCATGAATTTAGGAACTGAAGCCGGTTGGCGGAGGAGAAAGAAGTGATGATAGAGATAAAGGAGGAAGAGGAGAGAATGGACAAAGTGTAGGAACAAAAGAAAACACTCAGGAGCGGCGACTGAAACCCTAAACTACTGATAAGAAGCCTAAACACAAAGACATAGAAAAACTCAGGTATGACATTCAGACAAAGGGGACAGAGTTCACGTTCCAGGAGAGACAGTCATGCTAGGATTATACTGTGTTGGAAACAGATTTGAACAAGACTAAAAGTTTAACTTGCAGCCCTTTTTAGACACCGTGGGTTGAGGTAAATGCTTACATCAACATGCCAACATGCATACTATCAAATTGTTTACATGTTAATGCTAAGCAGGTTTGCCATGGTCACAATCTTACTATAGCAAGTAAGCATTAAACAGAAAGAACAGCTAAGGCTGAGGCGATTATTTAGTCAAAGTATTGCACATTATAGTAACCCATTTTCATTCAAATCTATTTATGGTCTGAAATATGAACTCAAAATCACGTTAACCTTAAAGGTCCCATGTCATGCTTTTCCGATAATTACCCGTCCCCTTGAGTGTTATGCAGCTTTTTCTGCATGTAAACGGTCTGCAGAGTCACAAACCCTCAAAGTACACCCTGGAGCGAGTAAAACTCAACACAGAAAATACCTGTCTATGCTGCCCCATACTGACGTAACACAGCGGAGCTCCATACACACGCACACACTCAGAGATCAAGCTGTGAATGTGTGTGCTCAGGCTGAGCCCCGCTGTGTCTCGCTGGCTCGCAGACCCCACGTAGCAACCAGGAAACTACACCAGTAATCCAGCTCACACTGTCCGCTCCAGCAGCGAGCCCCGCAACGTCCCGCCAACACGGCACCCAGACCCCACGCAGCATTCTGAGCTGTTTGTCATTACTGGTGTATTTTTCTGGTTGCAAACAAACGCCATTGTAACACATAAAGACTGATGTCCCACTGTAACGGTGGTGGACTCTTCAGAACAGAGTGGGCGAGCTGACCACTCAGAGCACAGTGGGCTGGGAGGGGGAGCAGGAGCTCCAACAAGGCGTGTAGGACAGAGAGTGAATACACATGCTATACAGAGATGCTGTATGAGAAACCAATGTGAGTTTGGAACATTGAACAATGTAAATCTATTCTAGTAGACCTCAACAATGGAATTATGATCAGTAGAAATGGCCATGTCATGGGACCTTTAATATAGAACAAACAGAAAAGACCAAGAATCATCATGGGCCCTGATGACAGCGTTTCTAAATCTATCTAGATATTTTACAGAAGAGAAACGTTAGACTGGCTGATGGTGATTCCAGAAAAGTATCAGACTAATCACCAAATCTCTGAACCAATAGGATTCACCCTAACCATAAACATATTTATCCGAACTCCTTCCATTAAAAAAATAATGAAAAATGGTCAACCTCATGGTGGCTTTAGAGAGAGAAAGTCAGGAGATCCATAAAGTCATTGGGGTTCATCCACAAGTATGTCTTTAGAAAGTGTTCAGCAATCCATCCCAATAAGCAGCCGGGACAGAAACGGTGGACCGACCCACATTTCCATCCCTGGAGACTTTGGATTATTGCACTGCGGATCACATTACTATAAAAACCACCCACAGAAAACAAAGTGTCCTCCTTATCTGTAATTGCCATGTACGTGTGCATGTATGAGTGTAGGAGAAAATATTGATAAAATAATCAAAGTGCATTGCAGAGGGGAATGTATTTGTATGGAAAGATTCCTTTGTTTTCCGTAAGCAAAGAAACACGTAAGCCCTAAAATCAACCGTCTTTGTTCAACACTCCTTTTCCGTGGTTTGGAGTGAACTTTGTGGTTGCATTTAAAAGCAGGACGTTTTACATCAAACCACCGTTATTATGCAAATAAACCAGACCAGAGATATCTCCTCAGTTGTGTGCTGCTTGTCCAGTTTTGATAAAGTTCAGCATCCTTTTTGTCTGAGAGTAAAAATGTGGTTGATTTTGAAACGAAGCGTCAAAAACACTTATTTTACTACAAGATATATCTACGCTATACA